CCGTTTGAGTTTGTTGGTTATGGTGAAAAAAGTTAATGTTGTGGTTTACATATTTGTTGCTAGGAACCTTGGCTTACTATGGTGCACTTTAGTCAGGATGGCGAGATGGTACTTTGGTAGTAAATTGTAATGTCTCCAGTTTTTAAAGGGATTAGCATATAGAAGAATGAATTTCTGTTATGCTCAGTTCTCATTTACCACGTTAGGATTATCGTAACTCTTGGTTCAGATCGGCAATCATATTATAGATTAAGAACTAGTTATTGTGCCAGGCAGGATCCAAAGGCAATGAAACATGGCTCCTGTTTCCAAGAACTGGAGGCATTATTGTGGGGCCCAGGGCGTGTGTTGTATCAGTATGGACTTGGGGCAGGATAGATGGTAGAATAGTGAGTGGTTCAAGGCTCAGACTCTGGAGTCAAACAGATCTAGGATTGGATCCTGAATCTGCCACTTTCTAGTCCAAATCTGAGCCTCAGTTTTCTTATCTGTAAAAGGAGAGGATAACAGTACCTGTCTCCCAGGGCTGTTGAAGAGTCAGTGAAGTAGTACAGATAAAATGCTGTCTATGGCCATGCTACCCTGAACAAGCCCGATCCAATCCGTATGATCTTGGAAGCTAAGCAGGGTCGGGCCTGGTTAGTACTTGGACGGGAGACCATCTAGGAAGAGCAGATGCTGTAGGCATAAAAAATACAAAAATAAGGGATTGTAAGCTGACCAGGTCCTTGCAATCTGTGAGGTCAACCAAGGGTTGCCTCGCCTAAAAAATAAAAAGAATAAAATGCTTAGCATAATGCCTGGCATAAATAAGAACTCCATTTTTGTACACAGTTAATAAGTTCTTACTAAATGGCTAAGAAAAGAGATTGATTATCTTTAGAGGTGAGAAAAAGGCTTTATCATGTGAGAACCCCTGAATAGAGTTTTGTAGGATGAATAGGAATTCTCTCCACAAAACTAAGCGCTGAACAGGTGCATTCAAGGTGGAGGGAACAGGAGTGTGCAGAGGCTTAATACAGCAGAGTGCGTTCAGGGAGCTCTAAGTGGAAGTTCTTAATTTAGGAGAACTAAATTGAGAGAAAGGAAGCTGTGGAGACATAGCTCCTATCCTTTCTCATCTTTAATAATTGCGTAAATGTCATTAAAATAAGTTATTTTGTCCTGTTTACAAAAGTAGTAAATGCTACTGGAAAAAATTTTAAATTTATAGAAATATAAACAATGTATATTATATATATATATATATATCTTGTTAATAGTTTGGCTTGTATTTCTCCAGAGTTTTTGCAGCTTTTTCTACTTACCAATTTATCTTGGACATATGTACTGCAAATTCCTTTTTCATAGCCAAATTAAAAAAATAGGCAAATCTCTCCCCCAAATAAAATAAGGTTTGGATTATCTGGTTTTCCTTTCTGTTACCCCATCCATAAGAATAAAAGACTTTTCTTATCAGCGAACCCGACCTTTGACTTTTTGATTACATCAGACAAGGAACTTTTACTCTGAGCTTTTCTAAGGTAACTGTTACTGTAGTGTTGAAATTCTTGGTCAATGTGTTTGAGAGTTTTCGGTCCACAGTTGCTATAGGAGGTAAAAGAATGGGCTATGAAGTCAGACTCCTTGGGCTTTCATCCCCATCCATCTCTTGGATCTTGGGTCAGTTGCTTTAACTTCTCTGGGTTTCAGTTTCTCTACTCATAAAATGTGGGTACCAGATCCGAATGGAGGGGAGTCGTGAGGAATAAGCAAGATAATGTATATAAAGTACTTTGCAAAGTGCCTGGCAGATAGCCAACACTTGAGTGCTAATAATTAAAAACTACTGTATCTATCTAACTACAAAGCCAGGGAAGTTATGATTCACAGTAGCCACTAATGACTTGAAGGAAAAA